TTCAAATCATATCACATATATATAAGTCCATGTGACATTTTGGGTGGTTTTAGATCCGTTTTGTGTGACCGCTTACCCGTAGCGAGGTGATGGTCGACGGATTTCTGATCCGTCCATCCTCATCCTTCAGGTTATAACCCTCCGGACGCTTGTCTCTCTCACTGATCTTCCACAGCTTCACCGTCTTGTCTGGGATGGATACATCACACAAACATACACACACGCAGACACACACAAACACAACATACAGTTAGATCATGGCTCACTACAGTGAATCTCAGATACAAGATGGATGCGGGGGGTTGGGCAGCCAATCTGGCATGTAGCTGGGCAAGAGCCAGCGAGAATGATGAATGGCGGCTCCTGTGAACATTCTGATGTCACTGATATCAATCTACAAGTTGACTATAGTTCCCGGCTGCAATATGCATTCCCCCCCGAAAAAGCCATCTGGATGGTTTTCAATTCTGCATCACACAAACACCAGTTACATCTCATTTTCTCTGTCTAGTGAAGGGGGTGGTGGCAGTCAGGTTGTTGTTGCTTTTTTTTTTCCATTTTAATTTCTGCTGTGAATATTGGTGTCAGAGCACCGGGGCCATCGCCACAGGACCCTGCGCCATCTGCTCCAGCCATCACTAGCACTTCTGTAGCAGCCATGCATGAAGCCCACAATCTGCAAGACGTCTCTCTGCTGATGTGTGTGTCGGTTTGAGGTAGCGTGCATGTATGGTGTGTGGTGGCACATGCTTTAATATGTGTGCGTGTGTGTTCCTGCTGTGGCAGTCATGCATGAAGTTCTCAATCTGAAACGCGTCTGCTGGTGGCACTTACTCAGCCAAGTGAAACACCAATACATTCACACAAATAGTCAAAAAGACATTTTCATGGGATATTAATAACATGTCCTTTTACAACAGCTCTCTATCTGCCCATTCTGCAAAGTGAATGAATGAATCGTGTCTTTAGTTAAACACTGTTATTGACTAAGAACAACACAATGCTCACTTTTAAACACTGTCATGAAAGATTAATGGTTTATTTGGCCATTTTGCCACTTGTGTTGCTCATGTAGTAGCAGGGTCGCCTTAGATAAATGACTGACCGTTGGTGGATAGCAAGAAGTAGGCGGCGTTCTGCTGAGGAAGCCATTTGATCTTGTTGATCTTCTCCTCAATCTCCAAACTCTTCAGGTAGTCAAACTCTGGCTCGTGGCTCTGGAATGTGCTGTAAACATTGTACTCCCCTCTACGCTGGGGCTGGCTCTTACTCTATAAAAGAAGGAGAGAACACAAACATAGTCAAAGCTTGACCTGTGTGCTGTTAACCAGAGAAGAATAAATATTGGTTACCACAAATTAATTTAACAAGCTGTTGGTAATGTAAATGTACCGTCTCTTCCCCTAGGCCCCTTTAAGTAGCTTCAAAGTATAACAAAACATTTTTAGCCATGCTAGAGGTGGCAATTACGGCCTGTCGGTTGTTTGGTCCAGACTAAAATATCTCAAAAAGTATTCTTGGTCTGCAGACAATGAATCATAACTGCTTTGGTGATCCCATGAATGACTTTTTTTATTTTCATCATTGGGTAAAATGTTTACCATACTTTGGTTTATCATCACGTACCTGCAAAACTAATGACAGTTTAGTCCTCTTTAGTAAATTTTAACATGCTAACATACTGAACTAAGAACTAAGATAAACATGGTAAACATTATGCTTGCTAAACATCTACATGTTAACATTGTCATTGTGAGCATAATAGCATGCTAATGCTAGCATTTGCCTCAAAGTTCTGCTGTGCCACACTATTTGACAGCATTTCATATACAGTATACACTATCTGTGGTTTTACTAAATCATTTTTAGCTAATTTTAAGACAAAACAGAGGGCTAAACAACAGCTCCTTGAGCAACAATTAAGCAACCTCCAGGAGAGTTTAACCTCAACCATTCAGGACCTGAGTCTTCAAATTGATGCCACTACAGCAACACTATGTTGGACCAAAAATTACTTGCTAAAAGCAGAAGGCTTGAAAGCCATTCACATGCATATGCTGCCCTCGTGCCTCAGTTATTACAAATGACCAGAAGTCTTCTGTGTTAATGGTGGGGCATGATACCAGACAAGGCCCGCTCCTACTGTTTGCCCCCACCACAGAGGCTTTGGTAGAGACCATTAGAAGTGATCCATTAGTGACAGGCATAGAGGTGGTTCCTGTGCAGCATAAAATCTACTTATATGCAGATGATGTTCTGCTTTATCTAAGCCACCCTGAGGCTTCTATTACTAGAGCAGTTTAGATTGTGAGATAATTTTCAGGTTACAAGATTAATTACTTTAAGTGTGAGGCAATGCCGCTAACCCCTGTATCTGGATCTCTGAGCTCTGATCCTTTTCGTTCATCCCCATCAGGTTAATATCAACTTGGGTATATATATTACCCCCTCCCTCTCTGGCCTGCAGAAAGCTAATTTCATGGCCTTAATTCACAAGATAAGAGAAGACCTGGCTGGCTGGACAGCTTTGCCACTGTCTCTCAGAGACAGATCATTTTATCCTACAGAATACTCTAAAAGTCTGGTGACCAGCAAGAAAACAAATGGGACTCCATTTCTCTCTCGTTTTTATTTATTATTTATTAATTTAATTTCTTTGTTTAGTTATTTATTTTCTGGGGATTTGAAAATCAACAAAAATACCATAATATATACACCTTACTTGCTAGTTATTTGAAAGCATACAATCCAGCTTCATTGTTTCAAGTCTGTCAAATCGTTTCAGCAGAAGAGCAGCATAATTAGTGTTGCATTGTTGGCATTTCCTACCTCCTGCTCCCTCTGGAAGACAACCACTCTGCCTCCTTTATCCCCGGTGGCCAACAGCTCCCCCGATGAGTTAAACTCGACCGTTGAGATAATGTCAGCTGCAACACAGGAAGCAGAGCAAAGAGGGGGAGAAAATGTCAGTAAGGATGTGCACAGCTGTCAAGGTATCAGTCAGACAAAAAGATCTGGTAGAGTGACTTCTAGAAAACATGTCAAGGGAAGAGAAGGAGAATCTCGTGACAAACCCACAGAGGACTCTCCGGCACAGATATCCTAGTTTGGTGAAATATGGGTTAGGAGAAGTCACTGGATGAGTCACTGCATGATATCAACAAATTCAGCCTGAAGTGAGCCAGTCTGTGTCATTTAATTGCACTCCTGCTTTTTAGAGGATGGAGCCGCCACACTAATAATGTCATTCACCTCACTCCTCCTGGCTGCAAGACCCCGTGCTGCTAAGTAACTCTCCTGCCCCTTCATTAAAAAAAACACAGTCATTTGCAGCTGATATACATGTTTATGCATGTGTGGCATACTTTTTAATACTTTAATCTATGCAGTGCACCAACAGGATAACAAAAATATAACAGCAATAACTCCGTAAAGGTAATTGTTCTGTTTATACTCCATTGCAAACATTTATCCTTCTCTACATAGTAGTTTCACCAAAAAGTAAATAATAGACACCTACCCTTAAGGTACTTTTCCCTCTCCTCCTCAAAGACATACATCTGCCTGGATTTAGGAGAGGCTAATGGTGACTGTAATTATTATACAACCCCAGGCTAAAAAGGTATAGCATAATGGCTGTCACACACACACACACAC